AAAGTTTGTGTGAGATGGGTACCAAAATAACTCACGGAAGAGCAAAAACAAAAGCGTTTGACTATCTGCAAACAAAATTTGGAACTGATACTTGAAGGAAGGTAGAAGTTTATTTAAAATGATTGTTACAAATAATGAGACATGAATTCATCACATCGAAGTTGAGAGTAAATGCAGAGTATGAAATGGAGTCATGCTCAATCGCTGACCAAGAAAAAGTTCCAAAGTCAACCATCAGCTGAAAACTTGATGCTTACAATTGTCTGGGATTCTCAAGGGCCAGTATTGGAACACTACCAAGAAAAAGGTTCAGCAATCAACAGTGTTCTTTACAGTGAGATGTGCACTGACGTTTTGGATTAAGTGCGGAAGACTGCTATCAAAGGGCATTATGATCTTACATGACAATGCACGTCCACACACCTCTGCCCTCCCTGTTGACACTCTGCAATAACTTCATTTTGAGGTGTTAACGCATCCTGCCTATAGTCCTGATCTTGCTCCATCAGACTTTCACCTGTTTGGTCCCCTGAAAGCAGTCCTTTGAAGACAAAGATTCACTTCTGATGAAAACGTGAAGGTAGTGGTGCATTTGTGGCACAAAGGTCAGCCCAAAACATTTTTTAAATAAGGGAATACGAAAGCTTGTTGATAGATGGACCAAGTGTATTGAAAAGCAAGGAGATTATGTCAAAAATGATGCATTTGTCTTTTGTAGAAGTTGATTAAAATAAATTCCGTAGCCAGAGTGTAGATGATTTTTGACTCTCATATATATGTGTGTGTGTGCATTTTGTCGTTGTTAAGTGTCATTGAATCAATTCCAACTCCTAGGAACCCTGTATAGGATTTCTGAGGAGTGGCTGATGGATTTGAACAGCTGGCCTTGTTGTTCACAGTCCTACAGTGCCACGCCAGAAGTCCATATGTATTTGTGTGTATGTGTGTGTGTGTTTAGAGAGAGACTCCTGCTGTGGCACTATAGGATCAGCACTGGACTGTGATCCACAAGGTAAACAGTTCAAACCCACCAGCTGCTCCTCAAGAACCCTGTATAGCATTGCTGAGTTGGAACCAACTCCATGGCACATAACTACCATATGTATATGTATACACACACATACACACATAGACATGTATGTATATAAATGCACTTAACAGCAACAATATATACACATACATATATATATATGCGCACACACATATATATGTTGTTAAGTGTCATTGAGTCTGTTCTGACTCATAGTGACCCTGTATAGGGTTTCTAAGGAACAGCTGATAAGCCTGAACTGCAAACCTTGTAGTTCAAATCAACTCTGCAGTCCCACTCATTAACCCACAGCGCCACATCGGGATACACACACACATACATATATACATGGAGACTTGGTGTGGAATTGTAGGATAAACTAACTGCAACTAAAGATCGGTGGTTTAAATCTACCAGCTGCTACTGCTGTACAGGGTCCCTATGAGTTGGAACCATCTTGATGGCACTTAACACAACAACAACAACACACACACAAATATATGTGGTTATGCATTGGGCTGCTAACCACAGGTAAGCAGTTCAAATCTACCAGCTGCTCCATAGTCTCAGAAACCCTATATAGGGTCCCTATGAGTTGGAAACCACACCA